ATGCTTATTTAAGACCACAGCAAATACAGCAATCTCAGCAAGCTTCTGTCCGATTTACTTATACCAACACATTTATATGTTATCAGTGTGGACAACTTAGACATACAAGAAGAAATTGCCCTCAATTACAAACAGGAATATTCTCTACTGCAATCTCTACAACCAATTCTTTATCAACTATAAGCAACACTATACCTCAAACTCAAACTCAAACACAAGCTCAAGCTTAAGCACAACCCCAACATCAAGGAAATCAAGCTACACAACTTCTTCACCTTTTGGCTCAACTTATTCCTCAAGATAATAATGGATTGGTACAACAATCTAGTCATCAAATTTCAACACAACTACAACAACCTATATATGCACTACACATTTTATCTTAAGTTCAATCTCAATCTCAACCCCCAAGTACCGATTTAATCTTCGATTCAGCTACAAGTTTAGTTACAACAACTTTAAACTAGAAGGCCAATATTCGAAGAGTGATATTGCTGGCCCTTTTTCAATCTCTTCAAATATTGTATTTCTAGATATCTATCCTGCAAAAAGACAGGACAGAAGAAATTACAAAGGAGCAAGAAGAAGAATGAGACAAAAGTAAAGAAAAAGTAATAAAAACAACAAAAACTAAAAAGAAAAAATAGCTGTTATTATCACCAGTTCATCATATAATTAAGCCCTATGCATCTTAGCAATTCTTTAATCAGGTAGCAAATATTACAAATGGACAATTATTAGCTATGAACCCCAAGTTCAGCCAAGTAGTTATTAAATACTTAAAAAAGCCAATAGTAAAAAAAATAGATCAAGCCAACTTGGAAACAAAATTAGATAATAGAGAGCAAAAACTAGAAAAATCAAAAGCAACAATCATTAACTCATCAAAACCAACAAGAATTGGAAGAATTGAAATAAAAATATACTTTTGTAATTTTTTCTACAATACAACCTTTATAAATATATTCTTCTTTAAAAATATTCTTTTAATAATACCCTTAAAACTCCTCTTAAATATTCATTTTTCTTGTTAAAACACCACTTCAATATTTCTATATTTTATTACTTTTACCCCTAGGCAACTTCTTGTTACTTTTCTTTACCATTTTCTTTTTATTAAATAGTTTCTAGTTGGAATTTGAATTTTTGTTTAGTTGATTGTGTTTTTATTTGTTTTTGTTTGTTTAACTGGTGCCTTATTTGATAAAAAGAAAACCTTCTGCTACCAACAACTTGCAGATTAATAAAAAACTGTTGCAACAATATATATTAAAATTATATTATTTGTATTTATTAAAAATAATTATGTTTTTATTGATTTTACAATATAATTTAACAATTTTAATTATTTGTATAAATTTTGTATTATAAAATTATGGTTATATACTTGAGATACAAATCTTTTACACTAACCTATAACTAGGTTTTTATTTAAATAGATTTTAACTAAATATACTGTATATATACTGTATACTAATAGTACACACATATATATATATATAATACAGTATATATATATACGTATAATAATAAAAATAATGTATATAAATTATGTATATATATAGTTATTAAAAACTTATTTTGTATATTACTGTATTATATATTAAAAATGGTTAAATTAAAGTATATATACGTATTTAGATTTTGATTTTATATACGGTATATAACTTAAAAAAAAAAAAAAAAAAAAAAAAAAAAGCTACGTAGAATTAATAACGATATAACGTATATACCAATTTAGCAGGCAAAAACTCGTGATTTGGTATTACGCAAAAATTCGTACAACTATTGTCACAGTAAAACAATTCATCAAATAGTACCTCGGTTAATGAAATTTTACAATTTTAGTGAAACATTTTTACCCCAAAATTCTTTACAATCTACCTAATTTTAGAATCGACATCTTAGAAATTGCGACACATCAACGTGAATTTTCTTTATCAATTCCCTTTTCTGCTTAGACACTGATTACTGTCTAGTATATTAAAATTCTATTTCAAAAAACTTCCACAAAGGCAAAACTACAATCATATTCACAAAAAATTTTGTGTAATAATAACCTGTTTAGAGAAGTTTAAGCGACATGTTTTTTCGATCGACCACAAATAATAAACATATACGGTGCATACCGTAATTAAATCATGAAATGTGACAAACGCGTTCCAGGGTTCATTGAATTCGGATGATTTAACGCCAATTTCATTGCGTTAGCATAAATATACAGATCATCGAAGTACGACTCATTTAGTGGTTGCCGATTGTGACAGTGACAAATGTACCTAGAAGGAAGGTAGTGCAAAAAAAAAATTTTTTTTTTTTTTTTTTTTTTTCTTAAAAATTTTCAGTCATTATAGCATAAAGGCGTTTTGTGAACAAATAATTTGACGATTTGTGAAATGGATCACACCAATAATTTTATCGACATTATTTAATATTAGCGGCGAATTTTGATGAATATAACAATGATCAATAAGAACAAGTATGTGTAATGTAAGCACGAAGGGAATATACGTAATTAATGTCTAGAACTTAAAAAACATGTATACAAAAAATAACGGTAAATAATATACAGAATATCAATAGAATTAAAGTTACATAATGCATAATTAAAATCATAGAACCTCCTCACGACATAACCTTGTAAATTCGGCACAAAATGCTAACGTATTTAAAATACTGGATTAAGAGATTATTTACACATATTATAATACTTTATAGACAACGAAAGCGTTTATAGGAGTCCTCTTGTTTCAAAATTAAGAATTATTATATGTGGGGAGAAATGTAGACATCAAGATTGTAAAAGTTTAACCGATTTCCGCGTTCTTTCTTTGCCGACCTTAATACATTGCATTGCGCGTATTATCCGAAAAAACCTGTTGTTATTTTCTTCAAACAGGATTACTTTGGGTAATCCCGAGTTATTCACGAGCATGTTTAAATATTATGTGCAAATGCTTAGCAAATCATTGTAAACTCATCACCATATATTAAAATATAAATGTTACAGGTGTTACATTATAATATTGTACTACGGTATTTTAATAAAAAAAATTTTTTTTAAAATAGTAGCTTATATTTAAACATTTAACCATCTTATTGTTTTGTACCATTTATGTAGTGCAACATGCGGGAAGAAACGGTCACCTACTAATAATTAAAAGAAGCGAATGAAAAAGTTTTTTTAAAATCGTCTTCGTAATTTCGCAATCTTATCTCGCAGTATCGTACGTATCCGAGGTATATTTTTAAACAAGTCTGCCGAATAAAATCATTATTTTTCACAGTTTTGTTAAAGTCTCTTAGCTTTCAATGGGAGTAATTATATGATGGACTTTGACAGGGTAAATCTTGCCCGTAAAGGGTATATCAAAAAAATCGTATTGCATGATTTACACAACGGCGGGCTTAACATGAATTATATTAATGACATGTTGTGTAGTAAATCGTCGCCATTGTGTCAAGTATGAAAGTGATCTTATTATTATGTACCAAAGGCTGAGAAATTGGCGAGTTTTTGTGTTGCTTCTTTTTTTTTTTTTTTTGTTTTGTTTTGTTTGTTTTTCTCTTTCTTATTTAATTTTTCTTATAAAGTCAAATAAAATTTTTTTCATACTTTGTTTTGTTCATCGTTTTCTTTTCAATCCACGTTCATGTTGATGTAGCGATTATGATTAGGTAATTCTTTAATTCTTTTTTTTTTTTTTGTCAAATTTACAGCTTGCCTCAGAAGAAATGATTGGCAATATATCTAATTGGCCGCATTTTACTTTTTTTTTTATGTAAAATTTTAAGTTGTTGGTATACATATCAGATAAACCTGGAAATCATATCTATAAATACTTCCAGAATTTCGCTTATTATTTAGCAATGCATGTTAACGTTAATGTTAACGAATAATACGCATTTCCGACCTCTTCCGACCCAAGTCTACATAGTTAAATGTATTTATGTCAATATGACTCAGACAAGTTCGGAACCAAACTAAGTATGATCGATATTGGCGGCTGTGCCTAGAATTAATTGTCCTCCCGACATGTCGGTAGAATTTAGAAGACTTTATGTATGCAGCATGTGCAAATGTGCTATTTTAAAAAAAAATATATATATCCCCGGCATGGAAAAAAAAATTACAGTGTTATCACACAAGAAATCCTAATTCAGATGTCACATCGTGATTGGCTAATAGCACCGATTATTTTTCTGCATCAATATGGGAGCTAATGGATTTAGTGGACTTAACTAAGCCATTTGACAAACCATAAACCTGTACTCAGTGTGCACGAGTGCAAGCTTTTTTTTTTTTGTTTAATGGTAGCATATAAATAGCTACGTATGTGTTCAATTCAAAAATTTTTTGGCTATATATCCGCCAGTTCAGAGCCCAGCCAGGAAAAAAAAAAAAAAATCGGCTTTACAAAAGAGTAAGTGGAGAACTAAAAAAAAAAAAAAAAAAATACGCGAATATTGTTCTTTTCTTTATTCAAAGGACGAACTCTTGAACTTTATTATTTTGTACATATTCTTCGAAAGTGCTACTTTATCAAACCGTTTGCTTTCTCCCAAATATAAAAAACATACATATTTTTTCTTCCGCGTAGCACTTTTAAGATTGCATTATCTTGTACTTTCTTGTTAACTTTCAGAACTTTCTAGGATAGTTTCATTTTCTTTTTAATTAATTAATTATTACAAAAATGAACTACTTCTACATGCACAACGGCGAACACGTTGGAACCGACGTTGACTGAACATTTTCGATTTTAATCTATTTATTTCCATATTTATTTATTCGATTTTTTTTTGTTGTCATCACAACAAACTCATTCATACATAAAATTTTTGTGCTTCAGTTAGCCGCAATTTTTTTAAAGAAAAAGAGCAATAGATAATTTTTTTTTATATTAGTATCGCATAGCCACAGAACAAAATTTCAAAATAGTCGATTATAAGTATCCTAATTTCCTTTTTTTTTTTTGTACAACATCAAAAATTCGACAATGGCACCAAATCATATTTTAATGAACATCGATAGCGCTTTTTTTTACGCACCGAATCTCTCTTACGCTTACGCTATTCCTGCGCCATCGAACGAAAAGGTTTTACAGCGCCAATTGATTGCTCATCCATCTATCGTCCTTCCAATGACCGATAACGAAATAATGTCATCGTCTCTTCATAATTCGAATGATGAAATGTCGGATCAAAAATTAACACTTCAATGGTTGGATACAAGTACAGGGAATGATTCTTTGGCGACTTCTGCGATGCAGCAGCTTCGATCTCCGCTTGGATCTTTCATGATGGGTGAATCTCTCTTCGAATCTAACGATGTAATGTTGAGCAGTCCAACAGAAGAGAAAGTTTCTCCCTCTGTTTTAGACTCCCCAGTAAACAGCAATCTTGGAGAAAACAATAATTCTGAAATTTTAAGCAATTCTTTTAACGACAATATCATTTTGGATGGAACTTTAAATTCCCCTTTGGATTTCTTTAGTGAACAAGACTTTGCCGCTCTGGCTGAAGCTAGTTCTTTGGCTTTGTCTTCTATGCAACATATTCAATCTCGTAGAAAATCTATGCAAGATATGCCGATGGAGAATTTTGTTAAAATTGAACCAATCGAAGAAAATAAAGATCTTCAAATGACATTATCAAGCGGTGAATATATTTTATATATTTAAATAATAATAATAATAATAATAATAATTTTTTGAATTAACTTTTATTATTATTATAATAAAAAAAAAAAGGCGATACTTCACGTCACGACTCGGAAAGTTCTCCCGTAGAGACTACTTCATCTCATACTAGCCCATTTTCTACTGCTCCATCTTCTCCTCACCAGCCGGTCTCAACAACTAACATAGGCATCTCACCTGAAGTTGTCAACCCACTTCAAACCGTTCCAAAAACAAAATCCATTAAAAAACATACAAGCACTAAACCACCGCGTAATGTTGAGTGTTTTAACTGTGGTGTGAATAAAACTCCGCTTTGGCGTCGCACACCTGATAGAATGCATTCACTATGCAATGCTTGTGGATTATATTATAAACAGTACAACACTCATAGACCATTACATGTCAGAAACAAGCCAAGTAATAATAATGCTCCTTATACTCTCCCCGCTTCACGAAAGAATACGATTGCTAGTATCTCTTCGGAATCTTTATCTTCTCAACAACCGTTGCAAGTTTCTCAACAAGCTTCTCAACAACAACAACAACAACAACAACAACCTGTCGTCACAGTCGTAACTCCTAATAATGATTTACCTATTCGTTGTGTTAATTGTGCTCAGACTCAAACTCCACTATGGAGAAAAAATGAAAAAGGTCAACCTATCTGTAATGCATGTGGTTTGTACGCTAAATTACATAACAGAGATCGCCCGGTTGCTATGCGAAAGTCTAAGATTCAACGTCGTCGTAGAGATTGGGGTGCCGCTAATGGTAATCCTAACGGTTCTTTCGATAGTTCGGGATCGGAGGTTTCTTGCGATTCCAACCCACAAAGCCCAACTTCTCATCAACACTCACTTACCACAATCCAAACTCTCTTACCAAATCATCGTTCCATCATCCCTTTAATGATTCCTCATTCACAACTTATACCTTCTCCAGTCGTGGTGAATCCACCACTTCAGCAAACTTACACTGCGACTCCTTGTATTCCTCAACAATGTGATTTTGATGATTCTCGTTTTAAAGCATTGATTGGGAAGATGTCTCGAAAGCAAGTTGAAGAATTTCTTTCTGTCTTGGAAAAACGATGTGATATATTGAAACAAGTTTTGAGTCAAGAACAAAATTGTTGAATCATTAAGCTGTTCATGATTCTGATGATTCTGATTTTAGAACTAATAGAAAAAAGGCGTAGATGTTAGAAAATCTTTTCAATTTTGCCTTTTTTTTTCTTTTTGTTTTGTTGTTTTTTCTTTTTGTTTTGTTCTCGAACAATTTTTGCGAGCTTTGTTTACGCAAAATATTAACATGTAAACATGGTGTTACCTCAAAAGTTATCAGACGTATAGTTTTTATTCATTTCTTTGTATGTTTTTCTTTTCCCCTTATATATATTTGCATTTTTTTTCTATACTTTTTTGATTGTATATTTTTTTTTTTCAATCTCAAAAAGATTTCATTTTTAGTAACCTTTTTTGTGCCATGAATCAAAATCTGAAATTTTTTGTGTATCTATTTCTTTTTTTTTTTTTTTTTTTTTTTTTTTTTTTTTTTTATTAATTTTTAGAAAAAAAAAAAAAATTAAATAATGTAAAAAAAAAAAATTATTTCCACCATTCAGATATATTTCATTTATTCCATATTTTATTCCAAATGACCATAGAAATTTTTTTTTTTTTTACATTTAAGAACCTTTTACCGGATAATGAATCCAAGACACCGAAAAAAAACAAGATTCAAAACTTGAAAAATTAACCACGAGTTGCGTAATGTACATAAGTAAATGAACCTCAAAGATTGATATGAAAAAAATTCTCCTTTAAAAAAAAAAATGTACAAGATGCTAGTACAAATCAGTTAAAATCAATTCGAAAATAAAATATGACATGATATATATTATTAAGGTATGACGCGGTTATGTTGTAGTATATGGTTTATGAATAAGTCTTAATTAGGGAAAGTACAAATTTATGCATTTCTTGGTATTTGAAAATCGGAATTCCTCGTCATACTTATTATCTTAAGATGCATTGTTATTAATTCATAATAATATAAATGGAAATAGAAATTAAAAATAATTATTTGGGTTTTGTTTAGCGTACAAAACTGTAATTAAAAATAACAATAGCTTAATTTTTTACTATATCTTTTACGGATTTGATTTGGCTAAGGAATTTACTCAGAATTATCCGGATTTATTACCTGTTACTAAAAAATTCAAGTTATTGGCACTGTTATTATTACAATAAGAATATATGTACTATTATAGTATTATTATATTATTATTATACTATTATTATATTATTATATTATAAAAAAAAGTTATTTTTCATGCAAGAACTTGCGTGGCAAAATTATGCATGAGCCATTGCTCCATTTTTAAAGATATGATTAATTAGATTGTAAAAGTATTAAAGAAATGAAATAATAAAGAATTTTGTCTTTAATTTTTACTTTTAATTTATTCCAATTTAC